CCAGTACTGATTTAAAAAAAAAAAAAAACCCTTGGATTTACAACAGACTCACACTTACAGATGGCCACCTTGATCTACCATTACTCAAATATGTGGTCTCATTTTCCTCATAGATTTGCCTGTGTTCATTAAAATCAGAACAAAACAAAATCATCTAACAAAGACAATAATAAGCTTGTAAATAACCAATGGATTAAGATGCAGAGATGAAGGTGACCTAGTCAAGAGAATGTAGGTTAGGGAAACTAAGTGGAGAGGGGCAAGAAAGATAGACTTCCTTTGTGACACATATCATCTCTCTCAAAGTGGCCGAAATGATTTCATTCCACATAAATCAGAGAGGCTCCAGATAGAGATGTGTTTATATAACTGGTCTTCTGATGAGCTGCAAACATGTTAGAGCCCCTGGATCTCTCATGGAGAGGGCACATTCCTTTCTTAAGGGCTTTTCTCACTTGCAAGCTGTCACCTTCCATCTGCTAAAGAAGGTTCAGAATGTTATTTGGCTTGCTGTACATGAGAGCTTTCCCCGTGGTTTGAGAGATCCTAGAATGTGGAAATAAACAGGGACATTTTTTCCATTATCTACTTTGCTTACTGCACCTGAAAAGCCTTTCCCTTCCACTTGTTCATTACTTTTAGAATTGTTTCTGCATTTTGAACACAATTTGCCAAACTGCTTGTGCTGGTCAGTTTTAATTGTCAACTTGTCACAACCTAGAATCACCTGGGAATTGAGTCTTTTTAAAATTTACCAAAACTTATTTTATGTGTTTTAGTGTTTTGCCTACATGTTACTGACAGTTGTTAGCTGCCATGTGGGTGCTAAGAACCAAACTGTGGTCCTCTGCAAGAGCAGCCAGTCCTTTCTTAACCAATGAGCCATTTCCTCAGCTGCAAGAGTTGAATTTTTTTGGGGGGTGGTCTGTTTTTGAGACGAGGTCTCCCTGTAGCCCCAGCTGGCCTGGAACTCACTACTCAGACCAGGCTGGCCTCAAACTCATAGAGATCTGTATGCTTCTACCTCCTGAGGGCTAGGATTAAAGGTGTATGCCACCACACCCAGCCTCTCAGGAGTTGAATCTTAATAAGAAATTATCCTGACCCAGTTGACTTATGAGCATGTCTGTGGTGGATTGTCTGGTCTGTTAATTGATGTAGGAAGACCTAGCCCATTGTGGATAGCATTATTCTCTAGGCGGGGGGTCCTAAACAGTGTGAGAGAGGAGAAAACTACATGAGAACAAATAAACAAGTAGGCCTGTATGCATTCTTTCTCTCTACTCTTGACTGTGGCTGTTATACTTGAGTTCCTGCCTTGACTTCCCCTTAATGATGGCTTATAACCCTGAATTGTAATCCAAATAAGCTCCTTGTCCTCTGAGTTGCTTTTTGTCAGTATTTTTATCACAGCAACAGAAATAAAATGAGAACATTACTCCATCATTATATCAGATGCACTTGAAAATTCAATTCTTGCCTTACAGAACCCAATTTTGAGTTGTAGATGTGCACATAAATCATTTCAATGGGACTGTTACAGTTGCAATTGAAAGTATTTGGGGGATGGTGGAAAGGGGTCACCCTTCTCATATTTTGAAAAAAATGTTCTATTTCAAAAAGATATTTTTATTGATTCTAGAACTTCATGCACTGCATTTTGGTCATATTCAGACCAGAACATATTCTGTTGCTTCTCCCCGTCACTGAGTGCTTCTTCCTGCAGGTCTGCTATTTGTTCAGTCTGTGAACCCTTTTCACCTTATTTGATTAAAAAATTTCAAGCATTCAACTCAAGTTGTATTTTCCCCACTCTAGCTCATGAAATGCCCCTGCCAGCCTTCCAGCTGCTCATGTGAGAAAGTCAGGCCTTTTCTTGTCCTTATGCCTCTCCCCTGTTCTTGGCACACATTAACTTTACTTGCTATCTGGCTCCTCAAGGAACCACCTCCTGCACTGAGCAATACTGCCCTAGGTGTGATCGCCAGCTCTTCTCCCAGCTTCCTGAATGGATTTCCTGCCTTTTTATGTTTCACTGGCAGCATGTCACTATTTGAATACCTTTATTTTATGTCATTGTATCTGAAATAAAAAAACAGTATAAGAAGAATAATTTCATAAGCTTTGCCTCAATACATTAAATATTACACTGTCATACAGCATATTATACAAAATTGAGCATTCCACAATTATGTATTTGTTTTCTTTTT